GATCTCCCAGAGTCAACGCGTCCCCCCGCCCCTCCCCAGCTACCTTGCGGCATGAAGAACACCTGAATATGTCTATAAGACTATTTGGTATCCAGCTGTTCACAACTTTAGTACCTTGTAATGCATCAGTCTTTGGATGAAAGCCTTCAGATAACCTATAACAAATCCAATGACAATAGCAGTCTGATGCAATATCCAACAGAGACTAAAATGTTCTACACTCACAGTAATCGATTTGCTGCCTTAAAACAAAACAAAAAACAAAGACTTGTAAAGCGCATGGGGTCCAAACAAAGGAATGAGGCTCATAATGCCTCAATAATACCAGTTGAGCATGTGGAGCTTTTGATACATTTCTTGTTTGTTAAGTGCAGATATCTTGTAAGGCAGTACCAGATGCCATCACTCAAAATGCTGAAGTAGTACACGGCAGCCAATACAGAGGGTGAGACATCCCTAGAGCTCTCAACACGTTCATGCCATTCAAGTCACAATTAAGTATAATCTACTTGAAGCACCTATGGTTTGAGAAAAAATAAGGAACAGATTTTCAAGCATCGCTAGATTTCAAACTATCCAAAGTTGTTAGAAATACAGGAGAAATAAATCTGTCAAATTCTAAACAAGGTTTTGAATCTTAAGTGTTGGTCTATAGCTACCTCGCTGCTGAGCCTGGACTGTCCCTGAGGAAATAAACTGTGCCTTTGCAATCTCTGGTGTACCTAAACACAGAAATTAGGCAACATAAATGGCTTGGGATAGGCCAGCACATCTCTGTTTCCTAAAGTAGTACCAAGGCACATATTCAGGGTTACTCCTGTGCTGTCTATACTGCTTAATAACAAGGCCTGGCTCTACAAACACAGGAGCAAGTGGGCAGGGTTTATCTTCTAGGCAGAGAGCCCAGGCTTAGCAGGGAAGAAGTATAGACAAGTCTTGAGTGGGACATGATCCTTGGCAACATTTAGAATCTGTTAAATTTGCACTATCTGTGGGCTGTGCCACCCCTGGTGCGGCAGCAGGAAGTGGAAGCTGGGGGACAGAGGAGGAGCAGGGGAAGAGAGACTGAGAGTTGTAGGGAGAAAATTCAGGAAGCCAAGGAAGTAACAACAGCAGGAGTCCATGGGTCAACTGAGGGCCATCAGCTGGACACCTCTCTATTAAATGATGGGGAGACACCAAAGCTCAAAAAATACCAGGAAAGCTATAACAAATATATCAGCTAAAAAGACGTTTATGTTCTTTTTTGTTTTTAACATTACATTCATATAAAGTAAGATTTAATGGAAGCTCACAGTTTATTTCCATGACTAAAGAAACATCAGTATTATGGTGTTGTCAGTTACTAAAGTAATGTTTTCTAATTAATGAAAAAAAATTAAAATACTATACTAACAGATCATGTTCTATAACATTCAATTTCTATATTACAATATCTACTGTAAATAAAAATTAAGTATCAATGCTCAATAATGTAAAAACTGAGCAAGTTATTTGAGTATTACTAAGTTTGTAACTGTAGTTCATTTCATAAGAGATGAGTTAACATAGTGTGAAAATAAAGGTTACTAAAAATCAGATCCAACACTCTCTTTCAAAAGAATGAGAGAAAGCAAATTATTTGTAAAATATTTTTCATTGACTGCTTCGTGGTAACCACAACTCAACACATCTTACTTCTATTCATCATTCCTAAATTATACTATATGTGCCAAATCAGAGTTAGAACCTTGTTCAGTACCTATCCTGCCAGTAATTAGACACAGCTATTCTTTTACAACATTTCATGTTTTTATCTAGTATAAAATAGTTATAAAGAAATTACTGGATATAACGTAATAAGCAGCTAATATCTTGTTTCAAATATTTCTACTAAGGGTGCACCGATAGAGATTTGGGGGCCGATATCGATAGCCGATTTTTAAAGCCTTTCGGCCTTTTAAAGCCTTTTTGGATTTTTTAAATCCAATTTCTGATACAGCTGCATCCAGCTGGTAAGTTTGTTGTGATGGAAGGGGAGGGGGGAGAGAAGGGGTGTCGAGGGGCAGATCAACACCCCATACGGTGAGGCAGAGAGTGGGGCAGGGGCTGACGCTGGACAGCCGGGGCAGGGTGCGGGACAGAGTCGCAGCTGGTCTGGGGGAGACAGGGGGGTGCTCCCGCCACTGTGTGCACCCCAGGAGGGCATGGGACGGGGGGCGTGTCACCTGGATCCGCGCGGGGAGGGATGGTGTGGGCTGCAGCTGCAGGTTGGAGCCAGGCTCTTCTCCGCAGAGGATGGGCTCGGGGCAGGCAATGGCAGCGCAGGGAAGGGGTTATGGGAGGGCTGCAGCCACCCCAAATTTTGCCATAGCCCCCCTCCAACCCCTCCTCGCAGTGGTACCGCCTGCTCAGCACAGCCCTGGCTCTTCCCAGAGCACTAGTGGAGGCTTGAGCCAGGGCTGTGCCAGGAAGGCAGTGGCAGCGCTGGGTGGAGGTGGGAGGGTGGTGCTATGGCGAAATTTGGGGTGGCTGCAACCCCCCACCCTGTAGCCCCCTTCCAGCACCACCGCCACCTGCCCCGAGCCCAGCCCCCGCCAAGAAGAGCCCAGAGCAGCCCCAGCTGCAGCCCACCCGCCACACCACATGCAGATCCGGGGTCACAGCTCCATTCAGCACCCACCTTCCCCAGGCCCTGTCCCACTCCCTCTCTCACTGTTGGGGGCGTTGATCTCCCCCCCCCACAATGGACTTACCAGGTGCACACAGTTCTCCAAGTTGCCAGGCTGTGTTCCTTGCTGCCTGTGTGCTGCGTTGCAGCTGCACGCACACACGAGCATTTCATGACCAGATTATCAGCCATATTGAGCCGATTTCTAATACAGCAAATTCTCTTTATATTGGTGCCAATCCAATATCGGACTGATGTATTGGTGCACCTCTAATTTCTACACATTTTTATCACAGTGAGGAAAACCTTTCCTTATAAACGACTAAACATGATGGTTACCAATCATAAGCAGGCAATTCTTTAAAGTAACAGATTTCTTGTCTATAGACTTCCTCCCCCACCCCCAAGTCTCCCTATTGTTTTGCACTTGGCAACAGTAACTAGAGACTGAATTCTACCACTCTGAGATGCAGTGGGATGGTACCACCAAATACTTACTAGAAGCTTAATCACCACATGGTATCAAACTTGGTTTTTTGTATTTTCCTCTGTAGGCACTATGTGAGGATAAATCTGCCCACCAAATTAGAAAAAAAAAAAATTTCCCTGTGACTGTCGAGCAATCTTTGGACCATGCCTTGTACAGCAACAACTATATGACAGTTCTGCTTCTGTGGTTTATTTTTAAGTCTTTCATATGTCATACACAAAGCATGGTGACTTGGCTTCCTATCTGAATCACACATGCCAAAATTCATGCATGTTAAAATACTAAGTCATTTACTATATGCTAGCTAAAGAGTCACAATGAAAATGAACTCTGTTCTTTGGAGGAGTTCCACAAGTTGCTGTGGGCCTGGGCAACAACCACTGCTGGACCTAATGCACATTTCACAGGACATTGCTCAACTCGATTATTAACTGCTCCCAGACCTTGCTTAAGAAATTTGACTTAAAAAAAAATGACTGTAGCCTTAAAGTAAACAATGGCGGTACCACCCATGAAGATCTCTCAAGTACTGGTTAGGCTTGCATTCTCTTGCTAAACCTAACAAAATTAGAGCATATGCCTGGAGAGCATCTTTTATCAAGTCTTACACCATTAATTAAGCAGCCCAAGTTGCTCAGTGGTTCTCCACCTTTTCAGACTCAAGGAACCCTTCCACAGACTAAAGGGACCATCAACAACTTGCGTGAATTGAGCAGCATCCCTGTTCAAAACCTTAACTTATTCATTACTGTACAGTGCTTGCTTACCTCCTGGCAGCGGGGGTCAGGTAGTTTGGGGCAAGGAACAGCCAGGCAGGGACCGAGATGAGTCTGTGCTTATCTGCTCTTACTACCTTCAAAGGATCTCATGGAGAATGGGCACCCAAGATGAGACTCACTGAACTAGGCAGTGAAACAGATTGGCAAGGGAAAGACAACAACACTCTTCTTCCTCCAGTCCCGAGATCAGATCCTTTTGCTGTTTCCACAGCACCAAAACACTGAATCTCCCTCCTTGGAGGTTTCTAAGGTCCGAAGCGACAAAGCCCTGGTTGGGATGATTTACTTGGGGATGGTCCTCCTTTGAGCAGGGGGTTTGGACTATCTGACCTTCTGTGGTCCCTTCCAGTTCTCATTTTCTATGAATCAAAATCCTGAATAAAAAGAGCAAGTGGACCTCTTCCATCCACAGAAGGAGGGTGGGCAAAAGAGCAGGCAGGCAAAGCATGTGCTATCATGGAGTCACAGGGAAGAGGAGCTAGGAAAGACCACCAGAGCTCATCTAGTCCAAACCCCTGCCTCAGACAGGGCCATCCCTACCCCCTAAATACAAATCCAGCATCTCAACTTCAAATTGCAGCAAAGTACTTTAAGAAAAAACTCTCACTAGAAGGGTGGTGAAGAGGTTACCCAGGGTGGCTGTGGGCTCTCCATCCTCGGAGGTTTTGCAGGCCCAGGTAAACGCAGCCCTGGCTGGGATGATGGAGTAGGACCTCTGGAGGTCCCTCCCAACCCTCGCTTTCTACAACTCTACGATCCCCTCTGTCACGTTACTGTCACCCTGCACACAGCACAACACCCACAACCTGCCCCAGGTCAAACAAGGCAGGAGAGAGAGGTCAGAGAGACAAGGCGAGTTCCCAGAATTTGGGGAAACCCCGCGCGGCCCCTTTAAGAGCCACCCCCCCGACGAATACAACTGGGCGGCGGCTGCCCCTCCTCTCCCCGGCGCCTGGACGCTGAAGAGCCGCGCGGGGCTGCGGCTATCGGAGGGCGACCTTTAAAGCATTACCCCGTCGGGGGGTGGCCCTTGGCTGGGCCCTGGATGCCTCCCCCCCAGCGGTGTCAGGGCGCCGCTTACCTGAGGCGCCGCCGCTTCGCCGCTCCGCTCCGCCCGGCCCGAGACAGCGTGGGGCCCGCCCCGAGGGAGCGCGGGAGCCGGGCTGGTCCGCGCAGCGGTTAAAGCCGCATGGCGACGGTTACTTTCAAACCGGCCTCAGTGTTCCATGCGAGGCGGGATCGAAGCAGCAGCAGCGGCGGCGGCTCCTCCGGGCGCGCGGGTGTCACCGGCTGTGAGGTTCCCTGCGCATGCGCGCGCTGTGCCACCCGCTGACCACAAGGGCTGGCGGGCGGTGCCGCTTGCGGGAGGGGGTAGGGGCGCATGCGCGGCCGGTGCCGGGCGGCGGTTGTTGACGGGGGCGGGAGCGTGGTTGCCCCGCCCGTAGCTTCCAGGCAGGGGGCGGGAGAGTCTGTCCCGGCCCCGCTCGGTGGGAGCCGGCTGGACTGTAGAGCTGGGGGTGTCACGGGGCGGAGGAGGGTCTCCCTCAGGGCCCGCCTGGATCCCCAGAGATGACCTCAGCATGAGGCGGGCTGCTGGGGGCCCCCAAAACCCAGCGCCTGCCAATTAGTCATGCTCATGCCAGCCGGGCAGCGCGCCCTGCCCGCCACTGAGTCATCCCTGTCCGCCTCAGAAACCGGCTGAGGAAGGGCTGTTCCCCGTGCTGCAGTGGGGAGTTCCCTCCAGGTGCAGGCACAGGCGGGGTTTCATCTGGAGCCTGCCTCCCCCGGAAAAAAAGAGCCTTTATTCTCTCCGTTTTTTCCTGCCACATGGAAACACCCGCAGCCTGGGTGCCCGCGTGGGACTGCCTGCCCGTGGCTTCCCTGCCTGAACCATGATCTTTGTTTTTCCCCTGCCAAACAGTACTGTGGGCAAACAGACCAGGCACGAAGTTCTGCACAGCCTTGAGGGGGGGTGGGGGGAGAAGGGAGGGAAGAGAAATATCATCAAATGTATACATTTGAGCTTGATCTAATGCTCGGGGTTTGCGGAAATCTTTCCATCCTCCTTTCATGGACTTTGGATAAGGCCCAGGTGCATTTTCCTTTTGCTTTCCTTCTTTGATGCACCTAAAGCAGGATCTAGGCAGCATTTAAACATCCCACTCTCAAACTGATTTAAAGGAAACCTTGCCTACCCACCACCTAGCCCGGAAAGGACCTAAAGTCACGATGTAGTTTCCTGATCAACCCAAGCATTCCCTAGAGTTGCGTTTCTCAACCCATGGGCCTTGACTCAAAAGTGGGTCGCAAGAATATATGAAAGGTTCACGAACAAACTTTAAAAATGGATTCTCATTTAAAGGAGACAGATGTGGGAAACTGGATTTTCCCTTGCAGGCTAGTAGAGCTCCAGCCTGCGAAGGACTGCTTGGGGGCCCCGCATGCCACACACGGGGAGGGGGGGGGCAGGGTGCTGTTTTCAACTTAAACTACTGTATTTACTAGATCGGGACTGGCTATCGATATGTACAAATGGGTCCTGGTACAAAGAAGGTTGAGAACCACTGCAGAGAACGCTGTTGCAGTTTGATACAGGTCCAAGCAGGCAGACACCTAGTTCTACCCAGGCCTAGTCCGGCACTAGGCAGACACCTAGGTAATGATACCTCAACTTGAGGTAATGATACCTCAACTTTAACAAGATTGTAAAGCCATCCAGAGGGCACCCCTTGTTGCTGCTCTTAAGCACACTGGAGACAGCTCTGGAAAGCAGAAACTGGAAAAAACCCCAAGGGGTAACTCCACTGACTCATTTTCAGGTTTTGTACATGTAGAGTGAGCGGGTGAGCAGCACGTGTTGGTGAGAGCACCACCCAAGCAGTAAAGTAGGGTTACCCTACGTCCGGGTTTTTCCAGACATGTCCTCTTGTTGAATCCTCTGATTTCCATCCTCCGTTTTTTCTAAATCTGAACCACTGTTTTGCTTTGATCCTCTGGTGAGAGCAGGGGGAGGGTGATTAGAGGCAGGGGGCACCACATGTTTCTGAGCGTGCACACACATGGCTGACATGCAGTCAGGCAAGGTGGTGGGAGCAGCCTCGGCAGCCAAATGCAGGTAAATCTGTGGGGGCAGGATTTGGGGACTGTCCAGAGCAGGGGTGGTGTGTGTGTGCATAGGTTTGTAGAGGGGATGGGTGTGTGAGGAGGGCAGATGCCTGGTGGTGCAGGGGGTTGCTATCCAGGAGCTGGGACTGTGCCAGCGGGGGAAGGGGGCCCTTTGAGGGCAGCAGGGAACTCCGTTGCTGGGCCAGAAACACAGGAGCCAGTGCCCATGCTCACAGGGGCAGGGCAGCTGAGAGATGCTGCCTTGGGGGGAGGGAAAAGCAGGGCCATGGCCCAATCGCCTGGCATGGCGCAGGAGCCCCAGCCCAGGGCAAGGAGTGCTACAGGCTTTCCATCCTCTTCTCTCCACCCCATACTGGGGCTGGACTTGCTCCGCTGCTGCCCACATGAATTGGAGTTGCCACACTCCAACCTGGTTGGGATGGGGGCAGCTGGGAGGAGCGGAGAGCAGGGCTGGGAGGAGTGGGGAACTGCAGATCAGGAGTGAGGGGCACTGACAGGGCTGAGGGGGGCTGTAGCTTGGGAGTGAGGGCATGGGAGGGGTGGTGGGGCTGTGGGTCGGGAATGAAGGGCACCAATAGGGATGGGGGGCTGCAGGTTGGGAGTAAGGGACACTGGAAGGGCCAGGGGACTGCAGGTTGGGACTGAGGGTCACCAGCATAGCCTGGGGAAGCAAGAGACTGTGGATTGGGAGTGAGGTGTAGTCCTGACACGTCTTCTGTTTTGGAAATGGAAATCTGGTAGAAACATAGCATTAGTTTTGAGGAGCCAGTTCTAGTAGATGTGTATGTAGCACATATAACATGCTGACAGGACTGAGCCCTTTACAAAATACAGTATAATTAGAGCTGTTCTACATGTTAAATATGGCCAATAAAGGAGGAAGCAGAAAGCGGTGGTGGTGCTCCCAGTGCCTCTTTCATACAGCAGGCTTGTAGTTGCTTACAGCACTCATCCAGGAGGTGGGACGCTGAGGAGAAGGTTCACACTTCTATTATACTCCCCTCTCCCAGGACATTACCTTAACCACAAGGCTATAACCTAGATTGTATGGGGATATTTTCTACCTCTCCTGAAGCTGAGCCACTTTGCTGAAAGGAATGCAAAATTTTTGGGACCAAAAAAGAGAGACAAAAAGTGGGAATCCTAATGAAAAGGGGAATCCAGGGTTCCAGTCCCTGGTTCCAGGGACACTTGGCTCCTCAGCAGATGAAAGTGCCCCCTACAACTTAAAGCTACAATGAAGGCTTTTTACAATGTTTTTTTTTTGTGGGGAGGGGGGTTTGGAGCTTGAGGAGTTTAAAATAGGAACAGAGTAAAATATTTGGATGCCGAGTCTCTCTTAGCTGCCTAATAGATCAGACTAACGTCTAAATGTAAAGCATCCTCATTTGCCTTTCAACTGAATTAGCACCTATGGTAGTTGCTTTCTCCAAGACACCAAAAAGGGATTTAATATCCGAGTGAAAGTTCTTAGGAGATTAATTTGAATATTTTTTCAGGGTTAAGAAGAAAAGACTTAACCATGAAGTGAAATCACCATACTTAATTTGTAACATCATGTTAATTTGTACAGTAATAGATTATGATCTCATTGCAGGATGAAGTGGAAGGAAATGCTGATGCATCATAGAACCTTCAAGTACAAAGCAAGAGAATATGATTGGCCTAAAAATTGCTGTTAAGTAATCTTTTATTTCAAGTTTACAAAGACTTATCTGTTGCTTTTGTGAGGTTTATGATTATTGGTGGGAGTCTTCTTAAACAATTCTCAGTGCTGTTTAGCTTTGATTTCGTTAAATAATTAGAGAAACCTATCGCCTATAACTTTTTCCTGGGTCTTTGTTGATTGGCTGTGTGAATCCCCTGAAACTTGAGATTTTTCAGGTCTGTGTGAGATGGCTTCTCTGGCAACGTAGTACTAGATGTAG